CCTGTAATCCCAGCTACTCAGGAGGCCGAGGTTGCAGTGAGCTGAGATCACGCCACTGCCCTCCAGCCTGGCGACAGAGCAAGACTCCATCTTAAATAAATAAATAAAAAGTAGTCTGAGAAGGCCTCGCAGAGAAGGTGACATTTGAGCAAAGAAGGAAGGAGTGAGGGAGACGGCCACACAGATGCCTTGCAGAAGAGCATTCTAACCTGAGAGGTCTGCAGTGCAAAGACCCCAAGGTGGAAATGTGCCTGGGGTATTTCAGGAGCAACAGGAGACACTTTGGCTGGGGTAGTGTGGGAGGAGAAAGCAAGCAAGGAAAGTGGCCAGACTCAGGTTAGACTCCAGCAGTCCTTGCAAGAACCTTTTCTCTGAGTGATAAGGGAAGCCATCAGCGAGTTTGAAGCACCTCTGAGAGGTGTGACAGACATGACTCATATCCCATCCACCACTTCATTTACTCCTCCAAACTGAACTGTTGTTCCCATTGTTGATTGGAAGATATAGAGGTAGGAGGGGTGAAGCGTCTTGCCCAAGGGAGCAAAGCGAATATGTGGGGAGGTGGGATTCAAAGCCAGGCCCTTCTCCCACTTTATGCTGCACTTGTTCCTGCTCTGGCCTTGTCGCCTCGCCATCCTTCCCCCGCCAGAAGGGGGCCTTTGCTGACCCTGACTCTCCTCAACTCCCAGCCCCACTGCCCGGGCCCACTGCAGCCAGTAATCAAGAGGACTGAGGATAGCGAGGGTGGCTGTGCCTGGGGACTCTGTCTTTGTCACCAGCTGTGAAGATGGTCAGAAAGATGCTTGGCTTTTGAACTCAGGGCCCTAGGAGGACAGAAAGAAAGATGGACAAGCCTCAAGCCCAGGGTTCACTTACCTGTCACTTTGTCTGTGAAGTCTTCTGGAACTGAGGGGGTGGGGACAGCCAGCCCATGGTTTTCCTGGGCATTCTGAAAGAGACCAGAAAGAAATCAGGGGACAGGGAAAGATGGACAGATAATTCTCAAACTGCTGCTCATTGAGGCCATGTTACTGCTTGAAAATCTGCAGTGACACTCATGGCTGCATAACCTTGTGCATATACCAAAACATAAAAGTCTGATTTTGAAAAAAAAGGAATCATGTGGTACAGTCAACCAATCCTCACCATTTGTCATAGTTATGTTCTATAAAGTTGCAGTGAACATGGTATTCGTAAATACTGACTTGTTTCTCCTAGGGGAAATACAGGGTTAGGTTCCTATGACCCCTGGTCACAAGATTTTTGTCAACTGATCAATACATAACCATAACCTTGTTTTAGCTGTGTTTCTGCTTAAAGACACTTTAATATATTTTGTTGGTTGGTTAACATTGAACTCATGGCCGATAGCACTATAACACGTGACACTAAACAGAAAAAGACATTGTATGACATGTATGACAGCTAAAACAAGAAGACAAAGGATCCTATTGTTTAGCTGGGAACTTGTGCGTTGAACAACTCAAAATTTTCACTGCTCTGTGCATGTCTGTAAATGACCACAGAAGCAATACAAACATTGATTCTGGGGTTACAAATAAATTTTAGCCACTAAGCAAAATTTGCAAATACAGAACCCACAAATAGGGAGGATTGACTGTATATGAATTCCATCTCGATGAAAAAGCAAAACAAACCGATAGAATTTGCAACGACTCCCCATGGAGGTCCACAGGTGAAAAGCCAAACTCCTCAGCCTGGCCTCCTGTGTGTTCTTAGTAGTCATTAGGTGTTTACAGAAAAATAAAAAGTGATGAACTTGAATTTTTTTTTTTTTGGGTTTTATTTTGTCACCTAAGCTGGAGTGCAGTGGTACAATCATGGCTCACTGCAGCCTTGATCTCCCTGGCACAAGCAATCTTCCCATCTGTAGCTGGAACTACAGATGTGTGCCCACCATTCCTGGCTTTTTTTTCTTTTTTTGAGATGGAGTCTTACTCTGTCACCCAGGCTGGAGTGCAATGGCATGATCCCCGCTCACCGCAACCTCTGCCTCCTGGGTTCAAGCGATTCTTCTGCCTCAGCCTCCTGAGTAGCTGGGATTATAGGGGCGTGCACCACCATGCCCAGCTAATTTTTTGTATTTTTAGTAGAGATGGGGTTTCACCATGTTGGCCAGGCTGGTCTTGAACTCCTGACCTCGTGATCCGCCCACCTCTGCCTTCCAAAGTGCTGGGATTACAGGTGTGAGCCACTGTGCCCAGCCCTAGCTAATTTTTTGTATATGTTTTAGAGAATGTGGTTTTGTCATGTCTCCCAAGCTGGTCTGGAACTCCTGGGCTCAAGTAATCCGCCCACCTTGGCCTCCCAAAGTGTGGAGATTACAGGTATGAGCCACTGTTCCCAGCCTGAACTTGAATATTTATAGCTCTGCAGATGCCCTTCTGATCGCTAAGCTTAACAGGCTATAATATGTTTACACAGCTGTCAGTCTGTACATACTATTTTGCATTCTATTTTTTTTTCCAAACATACATTTCCATATGTCAACAAAGTCCACACACCTGTTTTGAAGAGCTGTAGAGCATTTTAGTTAGTTTTCAAGGTCCTCAATGACCTGGCCTCATGCTTCCCAGCCAACTGTTATTTCACACTCACCTATTACAACCATCCCACACTGTAACTTCACGGACTCCCTCCCTGCCACCTGTTCAACCACCACATATAGTCCATGTTCATCCATGATGCTGGGCATTGGTCAGCTGTACCTGTCTTTCCCACTCTCCGTTTATAACAATAATCATCATCATAAAACTCCTTGCACTGTGCTCTAACTAAACGCATTATCTCAGTCACACCACTCTGTATAAAAGAGGATGTTATCATTTACCAGATGAAGAAATTGAGGCTCAAAGTTGTCTAAAGTCACACAACCAGTACTACCAAACCCAGGTCTGTGGAGCTCCCACTCCTTAGTATTTTGCCTCCCTAAAATCCCTCATCCTTCGAGGATTAGCTGAGCCCCTCTAGGATGGAACAGGGGTAGGGGCTAAGAGCATTGACTCTGGCTTTCCGGCCTGCCTGGATTTGAATCTCAGCTCTGCTACCTATTAGGTGTATGACTGTGCAAGTTACTTAACCTCCCTGTGTCTCAATTTCCCCGTCTGTGAAATGGTGATAACAACAGAATTACCCATTGTAGGGAAGTTGTGAAGACTAAATGATGCAATGCACAAAAAGCACTTGGGAGCCATCCCCTGTCCGCACCACACTGACCCACTGCTGCCCAGAGCAACCCACAGCCAAGCTTCCAAAAGAGGGGGGACTCTTGTTTGCACTCCAGATTGTCCTCTAGTTCCTTCAGTGAGATCTGGGAGCTCCTCGGAGTCCAGGGACCATGTCTTATGGTATCCCCCAAAGCTGGATGCATAGTAAGCCCAGTTGTTACTCAGCGATAGGCTGATGGTACTAACTCTCTGGACTTAATATACAAGAAGGGCACTCAAGGTCAATGTTACAGAAATATCTGTGAGACCCTGGGTTACCAAGGGCCATCTCAGAATTACTCTGGTCACAGGGGATCAGCAAACCACTCATCTTGTTCTTGAAGAATTCTGAAGCTGGAATGGCCTTGAGCCATCAACTTGTCTTTTTTTTTTTTTTCTGCCTTTGTTGATTTGCATGGCCAACAACATTCCTGTTCTCAACATTTCTCAAACCCAGTGACTGGGAACCAGGGGCAGGTACAGGGACCCAGCCCATCAGAGGTGTGTTTCCCATGACATCCTGAGATGTGCCACATACACATGCAAACCACTGATGGTCTAATAACCTCCATCAAGTATGCACACTCCGATTTTGATGAGATGGACGTCCGGCCTTCAAAAGCCAGGGTTGAGATCTCTGATTAATTTCAACATAATTGGAAAGTGGAAAGGCTGGGGACTTAGCATCAAAAGTCTTCGGTTCCATTCATGCTCAGGCTTGCCAGCGGTGTGGCCTTAGATGAGCAGTGGAGATGTGGGATGGGGACAGTGATGTTGAGCCATTGTCCAGGCTCCTCCTATGTGATAGCCCTATACTAAGAGTGTGACCAGTGTCACCTCAAATCCCTTCACAGAACCAGGGTGCAAACCTAGGCTTTCCACCTTACCTTTTCTATAGATCACTGAGACCCATTTTCTTCACTTAGAAAATTGAGGCAGCCAGGCATGGTGGCTCGTGCCTATAATCCCAGCACTTTGGGAGGCCAAGGTGGGAGGATAACCTGAGGTCAGGAGTTCAAGACCAGCCTGGCCAACATGGCGAAACCCCATCGCTACTAAAAATACAAAACTTAGCCAGGCATGGTGGCAGGTGCCTGTAATCCCAGCTATTCGGGAGGCTAAGGCAGGGAGAATTGCTTGAACTGGGGAGGCAGAGGTTGCAGTGAGCTGAGATCATGCCACTACACTCCAGCCTGGGCGATAGAGCAAGACTGTCTCAAAAAAAGAAAAAAAAAATAAAATAAAATAAAATTGAGTCAATAGTTCCTACTTTGCAGGGCTATTATGAGGATCAAATGAGATAATATCCCTAATCCAGGAAACCAATAATAGTTGAAGGATTATATCTTATAATCCTCTTTTCCAGAAAAGTGAAAAAATTGTGAACAATCAAAGCTAAGCTCCCTGGAAGTCTAGTAGCACCTTCTGGGTTACCCTGAATGCTTAATGGTGTGTGTGGGAGGAAGATGGACGGACTTTATGGGCCTAAGGTAATATTAGTCACTATACCCTTTGATCTTAAAGCACTTGGAAAACGCGTTAGACTCCCAAAACCACAGGGGGAAAATCCATCTCTGGAGCAGCTTGTAACAACCGCTCAGTCCAAGCCCTGACTTCTTAGGTCCCTTTCCCGACACAAGGGGGTCCCACAACATGTCCACCACCTCACCACAGTGCTTGCGGTGCTGTGACACACCACGGTCTGGCCCTGGGGCAAGTCCCAAAGACCAGCCTCATACCTTCAGAAGCTTCAGTATTGAACTGAACATAGTCTCTCTGGCTCTCCAAGCCCCTGTCTGGCCCTTTTCTTTCCCAGTTGGGCCCACATGGGCTCCTGTGGCTTACTTAGCTTTCCCTTTCACTGATGTTTATTCAGGGAAGGCAAATGCAAACTCATTTTAATCTTAGTCCCAGAAAAACAGACTCGGGAGGTAAACTGCTTCCCGCCCAGGCAGCTGGCATCAAGTGCACTGGCGTGGATGGTGACATAGTTCAGTGTGCAAATGCACAGGTGTGGACAGCATCTATCTCTATGGGTGCTGAATTTCCTAACCTGCCTCTCTTCATGTCATAGAACAAAGGAAAAGCCTCCTTAAGAAGAGGGCTTGAGGCAGGGTGCATGGCTCACGCTTGTAATCCCAGCACTTTGGGAGGCTGAGACAGGCAGATCACTTGAGGTCAGGAGTTCGAGACCAGCCTGTCCAATGTGGTGAAACCCCGTCTCTATTGAAAATACAAAAATTAGCCAGGTATGGTGGCGGGCACCTGTAATCCCAGCTACTCAGGAGGCTGAGGCAGGGGAATCACTTGAACCTGGGAGACGGAGGTTGCAGTGAGCCAAGATCACACCATTGCACTCCAGCCTGG